TTAGGATATAGGGTTTAGGGTGTGGGGTTTAGGGTTTAGAAGCTTTCGGGGCAATATCGAGGGATTGCGACTCATGCTTGGAACCTGGTTTGACTTTGAAAGTCTACTTACTGTATCCAATAACCTCTCTTATGAACCCGTAACCCCTACTACTAACTGAACTCACTATTTGAGCACTAAACCGTCAGCCCCAGAATCCTAAACCAAATCCCTTGCTAGAGGAAACTTCCAATTTTTTGATGTGCACTTTGGGAATTAGGGGGTCTATCTTTTGGAATTTAGGATGGCAGGTTTGGGGCTTAGGGATGTTTACGGATAAACTTGAGAAAATATTGCACAAGAGAGAGCACAGTGGGGTGGTGGAGTGGAAGTGAAGTGGAGAGTGGAATGGAAGACGATTGACCGAAGCAGCAGCCTGGCCTAACAAGGGACGTCACCTCCGCCCCGGAGGCTTCAGGTGCCAGTCCAAAACAACGACACACAGGAGAGCCATTTGAATTTTTTGGGGTTGAGGGTTTAGGGTGTAGGGTTTAGGGCAACAAAGCACGGGACGAGCGCACGAGCGGCCACCAAGAGTGGGGTTGTAAGCGTGTGCATGGAAATCATATCACGACGGTGTGGTGAAGGCGCTAACCGCAAAAATGTGTGGATTACCCGCGCGGAACCACCGCACTCAGCCACAGGTAAGCTGACCTCAAAACAATGAGGATACTACCGCAGCATCAACACATTCGGCCACGAAGAAGTTGACCGCCAAACCATGGGGATAGCAACGTGGTATCAGCACACAACAATACAAAGAAGTTGACTGCGAAAACGCAGCTTCAACAGCGCTCAACATGGCCCACAGCCGCAAACAGAGGGTCAGCAGCCAAGCCTCCAAGAAGGACACCACTGCACAGGTGACCTCGTCGAACTGGCGAGCCCAGAATGCAAGCACGAACGCCGCAGCTGCCTTCTGAGATTTAATCGTGCTGTCAATCTCTTTGCGCCATAAGGCCATAAGCCATATTCCTTTGTGATCGCTGAACATGAAAACCTGAACACTAAACATCCCGACATTCCTGTGCTTCCTTTGCCAGTTGAATGGGCTGGGAATTAGCTAGGCAATTATATGTACTGGTACAAGGGTAGGCTATTGGGCTTATCCAAATGACGCAACGGACCATGCTCTCGGAAGAAACAGCCACATGTAAAGCACATTTTACGTCCTGATGCTCAGTAGGGACTGGGGCGATGGCTTATGATGATGATTGCACGGGATTCTGGTGAGCTCCCAAAACGGGTGTCCTGATTTTCGGTAGCAAGATACCTTCACGGAGGCTGGGGATCTGCACAGTTCATTTGATAGGATCTAGGATTTGGGACAGGAGTCCTACTTAATCTTTATTAATCCCTACACCCTCAACCCTAGATCCCAAACTCTAAACCCTAAACCCCAAACCCTAAACCCTAAACTCGGAGAAACTCGGAAACCCGAGTGCTGGTGGGTTGCTCTCCGCATCACAGGAGGTGAGTGCTTTCGACATGGCTCGCTGCTATGTGACATGCTGACACAGAATTTGAAGCCCGGGGTTCAGGTGAAAAGGCTGAGACTTTGGGTTGAAAAAGGTTAGGGATCAAGGGTTTAGGGCGAGTGTTCAGGGTTTAGGGTTTAGGGTTTGGGGTTTGGGGCCTAGGGTTCTGGTACGAAACTCCAAGAACCACCCCTGAACCCCAAAACGAGGACTTATAGACTATCATTAACGGCGAGCGCCTCGGTACCTGAGGTTCCTAAAATAGCTCAGGGTTTAGGGTTTGGGGCTTAGTACAGTAGATTTTCTCCATCAACAGTGTGCTGCGATTCGTTAGTGTTATCCAAATTGATGACTATGGGAGCTGCGCAAAAAAGAGGGTCCCTTGGAGTATATAGGGGTTATGAGAGGTTGCAACCTGAATGCTGTCCTATCCTGTTTAGAGTTTAGGGTTTAGGCGCTTGTTTGGCCTTTGGCGTTCTAGCGCTTGAGCCAAGTAAGACACTTTTCTGCTTAGCCAAGGCGACAACCAAGTGGAAGATGCGAACTTTCTCTGTCCCTAAACCTTAAACCCTAAATCCTGAACCCCAAACCCTAAACCCTGGGTCCTCAACCCTAAACCCTAAACCCTGAACCCTAAACCCTAAATCCCAAACCCTGATAGCTACAGTATCCCTGGCAAAAAACCATTCATTTGGGAAGGGCTCAGGTGCATGAGCTACGTGGTTTAGGATTTAGGGTTTAGGGTTTCCCCTGTAATCAATGTCCACGGGGTCCTGATTAGGGAATGCAGTAGGGACTCTGTTACACTACCAAACGAAGCCCTATGTCCAGCCTTGATGGTCTCTGGGCACTCTAGACCCCAAACCCTGGGAAGCCAAATATTGAAAGTATCTCAACCTGCCTACAGCTCCTGGAGCCTTCGATTGCAGATCTGTCCAGGGATGGGGGGGTTCTACAGTCATACTGTTTTGGGCTTACGTGTATGGATTAACCCCAACTCATACCTTCGGTTTGAGCGCAAACTTGTGCATCATAAGCCACAAACCCTGAGCCTTACAGCGCATGGTGCAAGAACATCGGCTGCGCTCAAGCGATCTTTTGAGGACATCCCACACTGGACCTAGACCGTCCCCCGCTAATTCGAGGTTCAGGGGATTTGGTAACTACTTACACTGGTGCTATAACCCTACCTATAGTTTGTGTAACCCCTCTGGTGACTCTAGTACCATGTGCGGGATTATAAGTAGGGTCCTAAGCCGACTGTAAACCCTAAACCCTAAACCCTAAACAGTTGAAGCAGTTTAAGGTTGGCGGCTCGGGGCTCAGGGTCAATATAGAAACCCTGAAGGAGCCGGAACCCAGAAATATGGAGCTCCATGTTGGCTATAGTCTAAACTCCTAGTATCCCCCGTAGTGAGCCCTATAACCCCGCCCCCCTATATAATCCCTAGACATACCCCTTGAAGGAGTTTAGACTATAGCTCATGTTGGCTTGGGGGAGAGTAGTTACGCCTCATTTGGGCCGTCTTCTTCGGGATGGAATAGTCCGGGATAGGGCTTGGGGTCTGCTTTGCCATGCAGTAGAAGATGGGCAGTAATCCCCACGAACTGATTTCTACATCCGCAAACGTACATGTTCAATAACATGGAAGCCCCTGTAACCCTGAACCCTAAACCTTAAACCTTAAACCCTCTCCCATCTACAAAGACAGCAGTCGGTGCTGGGCCCTCTAGTGGTTAGGGTCTAGGGGAAACTCCCCCATATTGAGCCGTGGGCTCCGGATTCTCTTTTGCTTACTACATGATTAAAGGGATGCTCTTCACTAATTGGAGGGGTCGTCTAGGACCAGTTTCCAGTTTCGAGGAGACCACATAAAATCAACCAACTAATGTGTGTGCAAACTACCCAGAAAGAAGTATGGGTTCTGAAAAAGCATCAGAGCTTCTGCTGTAGAGGCCTACGTAACTACCAACAATGGAGAGTCGATGGAAAATCAAATCGAAAATGCATTGGAAATTGGGTTTGGATGGTGGTTTATGGGGAGTATGAATTGTAAGGCAGCCTGAACCACAAATATCAATTGAAATGTTTTGAAGTATATGTTTACAAGGAACCACCAGTATGCAAGGTGCTTAGTCCCTCAAAACAGTTACCAATATGCTACATCCAGAGACTCAAAAAACTCCCACAATCAAAATCTGAGGGCCTGAATGTGTTTAGAACTGCTCCGAAACCAGAATCGCTGCTGAATCCTTGAACCATTAACCCTAAATCCTAAACCCTAAATTTGAAATCCTAGACCCTAACACTGAACCCCTTAACCCATAACACTAAACCGTGAAACCACACAGGCAATTTTTCAGCTTTGAGGGCAGAGATTCTTCGAACGACAATGACATGTAGATATGGGGCCCATTGCAGGAGTTTAGGGCTTAGGGTTTAGGGTTTACGCTTTAGAGTTTAGGGTTGGGGGACCTTACCCTCTTCTTGAGAAGCACCCATATCTACATTGGGAGATTCTTCACTTCGCTATCGCTCAGGGCCTTGTTCATGATCTGAAGTTGGCGCATCTGACCCTGGAAAGCCTCATGAGTGCGGCCAGGTTCACCCACGCATGCACAGAAGCCGCTCTTGTCGACTGCATTGAAGGCCCCGGAATAACTCTTCGTTCCCAGGAGTTTCCCATTCATGTACAGCCTTATCGTGCTTTTGTCCCAGCTGGCGGCCACACTCTTCCATCCGCTGTTGATTACACCATCTGCCTGTACAGCTAGCTCCGCAAACTGGCCATTGGCTTTCCAGTACAAATGCAAACCTCCTCTGTTTCCACGCCCCGGCCACAACCGAAGCGAGATGAAGTTATCGCCCTGGCTGCCCCAACCAATGACACCCGGATGGCCACCGGATGTCGGGTTGATCTCCACGTACATGGTGAAAGGTCCTGTTGTTGGTAGAGCTGCACTTGAGCCCTCAGACGCGAGCGTGCACTTGTTACAAGTGAATGCGTCGGTGTGCTTTAGGACGAGAGGGGCTTGAAGTGCGGAACCTCCACCACCAGACTCTAGAGGAAGGCCCTTCACCTCGGCATCCGACAAGGCCTTGTTCATGACTTGCACATTTCGCATCTCTCCGTTGAATGCCTCGTGGGTGCGGCCAGGCTCACCCACACAAGCACAGAACCCACTCTTGTCAACTGCATTGAAGGAGCCGGAATAAGCCTTTGAACCCAAAAGCTTGCCATTCATGTACAGTTTGATGGTGCTTTTGTCCCAGCTGGCGGCCACACTCTTCCATCCACTGCTGATCACGCCATCTGCCTGCACCGCCAACTCGACAAACTGGCCATTCGCCTTCCAATACAGGTGCAACCCTCCATTTCCTCGCCAGGGGATCAAGCGAAGAGAGACAAAGTTATCTCCCTGGCTGCCCCAACCAATGACGCCCGGATGACCACCCGAGGATGGGTTGAGCTCTGCATAGATGGTAAAGGCTCCAGTCGTTGGCAAGTCTGCCTTGGCACCTGCAGCATTCTCCATGCACTTGTTGCAGGTGAACTTACCTCAGTCCCGACAACCCTACAACAAAAGAATCCAACTTGCACCTACATAATTGTACAACGAAAGCCGAGCCAAAAGTATTAAGGATCGCCAGACCCGCACGCTAGCTAATCGAACTTTCACCCGGCCGCTGAGATGGCTGAACACCAAGGGAGGTGTCAAGCCGGCTTTCTTCACGCCGCTAGATGCGTGAGCCATGGGTAAGGATTGGACTGCAGAGTCCGATAAGGCCTTGTTCATCACCTGCATACACGAATGATGAAAAATAGAACTCCCAGCAAACGACCCTGATGTTTTGAAACCCCCACCTGGACATTTCGCATGTTGCCTTTGAATGCCTCGTGTGTGCGGCCGGGTTCACCCACGCATGCACAGAAGCTGCTCTTGTCGACTGCATTGAAGGCCCCGGAATAACTCTTCGTTCCCAGGAGTTTCCCATTCATGTACAATCTTATCGTGCTTTTGTCCCAGCTGGCGGCCACACTCTTCCATCCGCTGTTGATTACACCATCTGCCTGTACAGCTAGCTCCGCAAACTGGCCATTGGCTTTCCAGTACAAATGCAAACCTCCTCTGTTTCCACGCCCCGGCCACAACCGAAGCGAGATGAAGTTATCGCCCTGGCTGGCCCAACCAATGACACCCGGATGGCCACCGGATGTCGGGTTGATCTCCACGTAGATGGTGAAGGGTCCTGATTTACAGGGTGCAGTTTATCCGCATGGGCTTGAGAACCTTGTTAAGATGAAGGTTTTAAGGTGGTTCATCAGTATCCCACAAGCTCTGCTTGCTTTTTGAACAGCACGGTCCAGTTCAACCTACATCTGGCCAGTCGCTTTCCCATTTTTAATCTGTTTTCGAAGGGGCTTGTAAAAAGCCAGCCCTAAACCCTGAACTCTGAAGCTCGAACCCCGCACCTGAACGCCTAAAATCCATCTTAATTATTGCTTGTTGGGATTTTCATGTCAGGACACCCCTACAAACTAAGCTGCCGCACCTTTTCGCCCACTTCATCCCATGGTTGGGGGTTTAGGGCATAGGGTTTACGGATTAAGGTTTCGGGCTTGGGGTTTAGGGTTTATGGCCTAGGCCTTGCGCATACCTAAAATCCATGCACGGATGGCGCCACCCCACTCCCAGGGTTTGTGGGTGGTGGCACATGAAACTGGGAATTCTCAACACTCCCCCAGACCATCTCCTTTTCGGGTTTAGCACTGGCGCCGTCACTTCCCACGGCGCAAACATCATGATTTCAGGGTTTCCAGCGGTTCTCAGCTTTCCAAGGAGCCCAGCCCAGCAATTCGCTGCAGCCAGGCGGTCGGAATCCCCAGGACCCTTTGAAGTCCAAATGAGCTATAGTCTAAACTCCTAGTATCCCCCTGAATAACCCCTATAGTAGTCCCCTATATAATCCCTTATATAACCCCTTTAAGGAATTTAGATTATGACTCAAATTGTGGGGGCGACAGCCTGGAGGTGGCTGGCGGCAGAACTGCTCCTCCCGTACCGGAGGGCTCTATACTTCCAGTCTCCATTGGGTTTAGGGTTTAGGGTTTAGGGTTTAGAGTTCAGGGTTTAGGGTTAAAGGTTTAGGGTTTAGGGTTCAGGGTTTAGGTTTGGAGTTTAGGGTTTAGGGCTTAGAATTCATAAGCTCCCCCGGTACAGGTGTAAAGGCTGACGTGTATCTCCAATGCCTGACCACCTTTTTAATGGGTGGGAACGGCCTCAGCAAGCCGGGCAAGAATTTTCGGGCTGAGAGTTTCGGGTCCTTCCCAGCATCCCAAACCCACAACCCGCAATCCCAACCCTAGTTCACAGATCCAAAAACGATCGGGACTCTGGAGGGTTCATGCAGGCTTTTGTAATCACTGACCATCAAAGAATCCGAACACTAGACATCCAACTACGACAGACCCCTGACACCCAAGAACGAAATCCCCAATAGCAACAAACCTGATAAGCCTTAGACATAAACCATAGCTGAACATTTCCCTGAATTTCTATAAGCTCAGGTACCTGACCTAAAACTTAGGTACTGCCCCCACCCAGTAACAGTCTATGTTAGGGGTCCTATTAAGAGCTATATATAACTATATATTAAATATTATCCAACTGTTACGCTCCAAAACCCTAAATTGCAGAGTCCTTTGCCTCATGAAACCTTGTTTTGTGCTTTGTAGGGATCGGATATTTAGAGTACGTAGTTTTAGCCCATTTGTAGTTGTACCAATAACCCAAATATGAGCGTTTCTCATTGGGATATAATCAGTGGAATCATAACTAAGTTTTAAATTCAACTACTCTGAAGCTCCAAGACCGGTTGCCTTCAGCAAGGCAAGAAGCTGACATGGAAAACGATTGACGGAATCCCCTAGACCCTCGCCGTCAGATGGCCAAAATAGCAGCAACTCCACAATAACCTCTGCTAAACCCTAAACTCATGGCATAGGCCGCCCACCTTCGATGGTGGGCGGCGCTTATGCCCTTCGACATCGATGGCGCAGGTCGATCCAGCACGCACGCCTGCCTTCCCACAGCCTGGGGTACTGTAGCACCCACGAGAGGCCAGGAGGAGTTCTCCTCGGGACCAGTACTGGTCCCTTATAACTTAGTGGTCGAAGCTGTGGGGGGCAGGGCTGGTTTTTTCCAGGGTGGATCCTGGGGGTGTTTGGGGCGTCCAGGGCCCCCTCTGCGAGCGAATTCGGGACCAGGGGCCCTGAGAGCCAGGAGAGGGGTTGGCGGCTTCAAATTTCTCCACACCCACAAACATCCAACAACAAAAAAACGTGACCGCTGCAGGCCTCTTTCAAGGGGGCCTTCCACCAAAACCGGCCTCACAGGGCATTTTGCAAGACTAGGGGATTGGGCAGGTCCAGCACTGTGGGCAAAACCTTTTCATCAGCAGGACCAGAAGGTTGCTAGGCTCCTCCAGACCTCTTTCAGCCGCTCAGAACCTTCAGCGTATACAAATGAAAAGGTGTTGTTGTTGACCAAGATGGACCTAACCGAGTTTAGGTCCTAAACCCTGAAAGGTATAGGTTTGGGTGGTTTGCCGCCTGGACGGTGTGGGGTGGGTGATTGTGTGAGATGGCCTTCTACANNCTTGAAGGATCATTGACACCTGATCATCACATCCTGCACGGCAACATCACAGCAAACCCTAAACGCTAAACCCTAAACCCTAAACCCTAGACCCTAGACCCTAAACCTTAAGCCCTAAACCCTAAACCCTAAACCAAGGGGAGCTGATTTCTGGATCCTTTTGGGGGGTCCCGGATCCCCTTCCCACCTGTCGTTGGCAAGGCTGCTCTCGAACCCTCCGCATTCTGCATGCACTTGCCGCACCCAAACTCGCCTAGGCTGGGTTGCTGTTAAGGAACATACTTTAAGTCACCATATGAGTAGCGCTTCTTTTTGGTGGTTGAACAGTTGAACCTAGTAAGATTATAATCCTTGTAGAAAATACTATACCCAAAAGGAGGATATAATCTTACTCTATATTGGGTACCATAATATCCCCAAATAAAATACTACCCATACTGGGGAAACCCTAGTACTTACTAGATGAGCTACAGTCTAAACTCCTAGTATCCCCCTTAATAGCCCCTATAGTAAGCCCCCAATAGAAACATGGCTGCAAGAAACCACCAATCCGCACTTAGGGATTATATAAGGGTATAATCATGAGGGTTCATCTGAAAAAGAACATGGAAACACTCAAGTATTCTACGGATGAATCAACCGGCCGGCCTAAATTTCAATTTCCCTCTAAATGCTGGTGCTCAAGGGGTTAGGGTTTACGGGGAATGGGGGTTGAAATCTGGGATTTGCTTTTAGACATTTTAGTTATAGAGGGACCATGGTCGCTTATCATGAACCCTTAACCGTAAAACTTCCTAAAAATCCACTCCCCCACGGCCATTCCCTGTTTAGCCATCCCTACTGCCCCACCCACGAACAGTCTTAGATAGGGCTAATACTAGGGCTTCATACAACTACAATACCCCTAAACCCTAAGCGCTAAACCCTAAACCCTAAATCCTGAAACTGTTGTGGCATAGGGACGGTACCCAATCGATCCCCTTCACCTTCTAGTTAGGTCTGGGGGTCAAGGTGGCCATGAAGGGGAAGGTTAGGGTGTATACGTGTGGTCCCCCTTAAGTAGATGGGTTTATATAGGGATAATGGAAAAGAAAATGGAAACTACTATTTAGGGTTCAGGGTTTAGGGATACTCAAACTCCTGCGTCACCTTCGTATCCATAGCACCATTACTCCTAAGGTTTAGGGTGCTAAGGGTCATGCAGGATTCTTAGTATCGACCGAATCCTTGAGTGAAGAACCGCCGAAGGGAACAGCCCCAAACCTTGACAGCTGACGAGGTCAAATCGAATTAACCTCCCTAAAACCTCAACCCTCAACCCCGAACCCTAAACCCTAAACCCTAGACCCTAAACCCTGCACCAAAACTCTGAACCCAGAAACCCTACAGTCCTAAAGCCTAAACCCTAAACCCACCCGGACACCTGTATGGCTGAAGACCAGTGGAGATGTCGGCTTGGTGCATTTCTTCGATGCTAAGCAATTAAACTTGGCCTTGGTTCAAATTGGGTTTAGGGTTTTGGGGTTTAGGGTTTAGGGTTTAGAGTTTAGGGTTAGAGGGTTGAGGGTCGCTTTATGAATTCCCCCCCCCCCGCCCAGGCACTGTTTTTGTGACAGATGATCAAATTAAGACGAGACCGTAACGAAAAGGATGACATCATCAGACTCTGTGTAGGGGACTGTAATACTTACAAGAAACATATTGCTGACATCACCTAAACCAGGAACCCTAAAGCAGATCCGAGCGAAAGGTTTGGCTTTAGTTCTTCGACTTTAGGGTTCAGGGTTGAGGATTTGAAGTTGAGGTTGTAGCCTTTTGGGTTGAGGTTTACATTAGCATCCTCGACATCTTTAGATCCCCCTTGGTTGGTGCAACTTAATCGCGGCTTAGCATCGCCATCGCCGGTTCGCGGCATGACATCACACTGCATGTAGACCACCTTCTGTGTTGAGAAGGAGCGTTGTGCAGACGCTTGCCGCTTGTGGGTTCTCCTATTGGTATCTTGCTGACCTGTAATACGGTGGGTACAAAAAAGTAAGAGAAAAAAACAATCTGCAGGATCCGAAGTACCCCAAGACCCTAACCCCGAAGCCACTCACAGTGCCGGAATACTAGACGAAGCAGCCATCAAACAAGGGCGACGAAACTTAAAGGCCCACCCTAAACACTAAACCCTAAACCCAGTATTACCAACATCACCCAGTAATCTCATTCAGGTAGCCTAGACCGCAACTACGTACATGTGCTACTATACATGTTGAAGTTTACAGGTTTAGGGTTTAGGATTTGGGGTTTGGGTCTACGGTTTAGGGTTTAGGGTTTCGGTTTAGGGTATAGGGTTTAGGGACCATGAAGGGTTGACAAAGGGGTTCATGAGGTATTTTTTTTGTCCCTAATGTATTCCCTAATCGAAATCTGCGTCCGTGAATTATATGGGAAGGATTAACCGCTATACCCCCCTGTATAATCCCAGTTATCATTTCACTTTCCATTTTCTTGTCCCACTAAATCCTCAACCCTCAACCCTAAACCATAAACCCTAAACCCTGAACCGTTTGATTATCCTTGAAATATGTGGGAGAGATTGGCTGT